ACTCATTTCTTACTGATGAAAAATTTAGAGAAACTTTATTTAAAGAATTTACAAAAAAAAAAAAAACACGTCAAAACGTGTTTAACACATATTCCTTTCTTTGCGAATACACAGCCGTCTTTTCTGAAAAGAAAAAGGGTTAAAAAGAGTTCACAGGGTTAAAAGCTTCCTGTCCGAGAGGAGAGAAATTTAAAAGGATGAATCTTTCCAGAACTGAACAATCCACAACACAAAAAGTTGAGTACGATGACACGTGTCCTGCTCATTGTCCCCTGGTGGACGTCTTTCTGTGATGTCAGCAGCACAGCCCCTCCCCATCCATCAGGTGGGCTTCTCAGAAACAGGAAGTAGGAGCTCCTCAGCGTTAACCCACGGTAACAAATCTGGTGCCTTTACTGCTCTGAGCAGTGGCGGCACGCTGATCCTTCAGGATACGGAAGCGTTCGTTCAGAGTCATGGAGGTTTGCTGCGGGACAAGTTAAAGTGTTAACGGCATCAAACCACCGGGATTAAGAACCTGTACAGAAAGCTGACGCAGCACACCCTCACCGGTTTCCCAACGCTGTTGATGTCAAACTGCAGAGGCACTCCTTTAGGGACTTTCTTCTCCACATTCTCCACCTTCACAGGAGGAGTGACGGGTGGGGGGTGGAGGGTCCAGGCGGTCGCAGGCCTACAGAAAGGTTTACAGGAACTGTTAAAGTGGGTCTGATGGTTCTACGGCCACATCTAGAACCAGTGTGGAGCGAGTCCTTACTCAGGCTGAGTCCTGGCTGAAGGGTTGTCGATGGACACCGTCAAAATCCCACTGCCAGCTGTTTGTGTGCTCCACCTAGTGGACAAACACACAAAGTGTCTCCTTACAACACYGTTTACTTCTGAGTATAGGAGGTAAAAAACATAAGAGGTTTACAGGATTTATAAATGTGTACACGGTGAGTCAAAAGTCTCAGGACACCCTTTTATTTCAGTAAAGAAATAAAAAAATGAAATAGCTGAATACCCCAGRCCAGCAGAGTGGATTGCCCCAATCATATTTGCAATATCTTGTGTGGTTCAGAAGTTACCYACATAAAAGTTGCAACAACTGGAAACTGCCTGGTATTTGGTGTCCAACGTGCTGTCCCTGGTGCTGAWCAGWGWCWCTGKTCAGCACCAGGGACAGAACTCTGAACACGCAGATGTGCAACARTTGTAAGACAAGTTGGACAASTTGTCTTCTRTTCATAATCGTCCAYKWRGACCAGATGTTTTAGGAACACGAGAAGCAAGTTCCACTTTCACTGAACACTCAGCAGTAACAAAGCTTCCTACATCCTTAAAGGAGGGACATGTCTCATCCAGTGCCGGTGCCAACAGTCTCTGGTGCTGCTGATATGCAGACACAGCTCTYAGGTAAACAGGATGGCAGCAGATTCATGCTGTCTGATTGTTTCTCTTCTTTTTAAACCACCTGGGAAACAGGTGAGAGTTGAAGGAAAGCTGGATGAATGGAAATCTGTTTCAGAGTTCCCACAGCTTAAAGGGATCCATGATTAGTTGTAACATTAGACTTTATTTGATAAACATATTTTAACTGTAAAAGACTGTAAAAATAGTTTTTATCATTTTTAAACTAAAAGTTTAAAAATACATTACATGGACGGGGCCATTTTATTTACATGCAAAGCAGTCTGGGTAAATGATGACGTGGATAGGTCCTCGGTGCGAGGCTGCTAGCGAGCTATATCCACCCTGAAGGTTAATCTTGGACAATATCTGATGATCG